CGAACGCAAAACGCCCATCGCAAACGCGATGTTTCCTCAGACTTACTCTTCGCGAATGCAATCCCTCTCTTGCGAGCGTGATGAACAACTCAACCTCAAACCCAGCTGACCAATTTCCTCTACGCGAACGCACTCCCCTTCTCGAGATGCGAAGCACAAACATCCATCCCTTCGTGAACGCGTAACCTTCCTCACGAATACGAAGGTTTAAATCCCAGCCTTCATCAACTGACCCTTCATGAACGCGAGGAGTCACTCGCGAACGCGAAAGTCTAAGTCTTCTGCAACACACAGCAGTTTTCTGTAATTTTAAACATCATGAAATTGTCTGATTGACCACTCGAAATTCACTCGAGGCCCTTAGGACCTAAACCAAACATGCCAACATATCCCAAAACCTCATTCAAACTTGTTCCAACCTTCGGGACACTCAAAACAATATCCAAATACCAAATTCGCATCGGATTCAAGCCTAAGAATTCCAAAATCTTCTAAATTACGTTTTTGATCAGAAACCCAACCAAACCACGTCTGAATGACCTGAAATTTTGCACACACATCCTAAATAACACAAAGGAACTACTAAAACTCTCGGAATTCCATTCCAACCCCTATATCCAAATCTTGCCTACCAACCGGAAATCACCAACATATCAACTTCGCCAATTCAAGCCTAAATCTACTCCGAACCTCCAAAACTCATTCCGATCATGCTCCTAAGTCCCAAATCACCTTCCGAAGCTAACCAAACCATCGGAACTCACATACGAGCCCTCTAATACATAAGTCAACATCTGGTTGACTTTTCCAACTTAAGCTTCCTCAAAAGAGACTAAGTGTCTCAAACCTTACCAAAATCAATCTGGATTCGATCCGACCAACCTGATAACACATAACACGGATAAACAAAGCATAAAGAAGCAGAAATGCAGAAAATGGATTGTTAACTCATGAGACGACTGGCCGGGTTGTCACATCCTCCCTAATTTAAATAATCGTTCATCCTCGAATGAGTCAAGAAACATACCTGCAGCCTCAAACAGGTGAGGATATCTGCTCTGCATCTTCCGCTCGATCTCCCAGGTATCCTCCTCCACAGGTCGACCTCGCCACTGCACTTTCATTGAAGCTATATCCTTTGAACTTAACTTTCGAACCTGACGACCCAAAATAGCTACTGGCTCCACATCATAAGTCAAATCATCATCCAACTGAACCGTGCTGAAATCCAAAACATGATACGGATCCCCAATATACTTCCGGAGCATAGAAACATGAAATACCGGATGCACACTCGACAAGCTGGGTGGCAAAGCAAGCTAATAAGCCACCCCAATCCTCCGAAGCACCTCAAAAGGCCCAATGAACCGAGGACTCAATTTACCTTTCTTCCCAAACATGAAAAGGTACTATAGGGAAGAGCTTCGGGCTGCGAACGCCAACAGCTACCTAGAGAGTCCACGAATCTGCCTGAGCCGAAAGTGATCAGCACTCGGGAGCAGGACCACATACGCCTGAATCTGCACACAAGGTGCAGGGAGTAAAGTGGGTACTCCAACTCAGTGAGTAATAATCATAAATAAAGATTGAAAGCAGGAAATCACGTAAGGCACAAAGCATGCTATAATGAAGCAGTAAAACCATTTAAAACAGTAAACCAGTAAAAGATAATTAAAATCCTTTAACTCAAAATTAACTTCATGAATAACCTTTTTCAACAATTAAATAGGTAATTGACAGTCAATTATGAAAAAATAAACACATAAAGGTTCGCCCCCTCGGGCACAGTATCAACAAATTCGCCCCTCGGGCTCAATCTCATATCACAATGGGTACCCGCGCTCACTGGGGGTGTGCAGACTCCTGGAGGGGCTCCTTACGGCCCAAGCGCAATATCAAGACACCTCGTAGCATCATCACTAGGCCCTTGGCCTCATATCAATCAAGCCACCTCATGGCGTACATATCTCAGGCCCTCGGCCTCATAATCAGTATCAAATGTTTCCTCACAACATAGGCCCTCGGCCTTACTCAGTCAAAAATCCTCACAAGCCACTCGGGCAATAGTAAAACATGATTCTCAGCCCAAAAATATCATTTAAAAGATCATGTAAGTGTTAAAACAAAGTAAACATGGCCGAGTACGAAAACAGTGAAATATAACATGACTGAATTCAAGTATAAAGTTAAAATAGTGAAGAAATACTAGTAAAAATCCCTGAAGGGTTCAAATAGTTGGCACAGGCCCAAATATGGCATTCAGCCCAAATTATGATGATAACAAATAGATTTTAGTCAAATACGCGGTAAAATAGTCATTCTGGACGGACTAAGTCACAATCCCCAATAGTGCATGACCCCACGCTCATCATCAAACGTGTTCGTCACCTCAATATAGCACAACGATGTGCAGGTTTGGGGTTCCATACCCTCAGAACATCATTTACAATTATTACTCACCTCGAACCGGTCAAATCTCTAGCTCGCGACGCCTTTGCCCCTTGAATCGGCCTCCACTCGCGTCGAATCTATCCAAAATCAGAACGAGGACGTCAAAATATGCTAAGGGAACGAAACCCAAGCGAAAATAATCAAAATACAACACAAATCTCGAAATTATAAAAACCCGACCCCCGGGCCCACGTCTCGGAATTTGACAATTTTTACATCAATAGATTCCTTATCTCCCCACGGGTTCATACATATCAAAAGTTCTGAAATCCAACCTCAAATGGTCCTTCAAATCCTCAATCAAAGGTCTAAATTTTCAAGCCCTAGTTTTTCAATTTTTTTGGCTTAATTTCCATGATTATTTTGGTGGAATTCACATTAGAATCTAGTTTTAAGTCCAAGAGTCTTACCTCAAAGTGATTCCCCTTGAATCCCTCTTCAATCCCCTTCAAAAAGCTCCAAAAACGACCAATAATGGAAGAAATAAACCCCAAAATCGCGGACAAGACGACCATTTAAACCTTCTGCCCAGGCCTGAAATCCTTCTTCGCGAACGCGGTCAAAGCCTCGCGTTCGCGAAGCACAAAAATGACTTTGACCAAAAATCCTCTTACGCGAACGCAACACGCCCATCGCGAACGTGATGCTTCCTCAGACTTACTCTTCGCGAATGCACTCCCTCTCTTGCGAGCGCGATGAACAACTCAACCTCAAACCCAGCTGACCAATTTCCTCTACGCGAACGCACTCCCCTTCTCGTGAATGCGAAGCACAAACATCCATCCCTTCGTGAACGCGTAACCTTCCTCGCGAATGCGAAGGCTTAAATTCCAGCCTTCATCAACTGACCCTTCGTGAACGCGATGAGCCACTCGTGAACGCGAAAGTCTAAGTCTTCTGCAACACACAACAGTTTTCTGCAATTTTAAACATCATGAAATGGTCCGATTGACCACTCGAAATTCACCCGAGGCCCCTGAGACCTAAACCAAACATGCCAACATATCCCATAACCTCATTCAAACTTGTTCCAACCTTCGGGGCACTCAAAACAACATCCAAATACCAAATTCGCATCGGATTCAAGCCTAAGAATTCCAAAATCTTCTAAATTACGTTTTTGATCAAAAACCCAACCAAACCACGTCCGAATGACCTGAAATTTTGCACACACATCCCAAATGATACAATGGAACTATTGCAACTCTCGGAATTTCATTCCGACCCCTATGTCCAAATCTCGCCTACCAACCGAAAATCGCCAACATATCAACTTCGCCAATTCAACTCATTCTGATTGCGCTCCTATTTCCCAAATCACCTACCGAAGCTAACCGAACCATCGGAACTCACATCTGAGCCCTCTAACACATAAGTCAATATCCGGTTGATTTTTCCAACTTAAGCTTCCTCAAAAGAGACTAAGTGTCTCAAACCTTACCAAAATTATTTCAGATTCGTTCCGACCAACCCGATACCACATAACACGGATAAACAAAGCATAAAAAAGCAAAAAATGTAGAAAACGGAGCAGTAACTCATGAGACGACTGGCCGGATCGTCACAACCAACGATTTGTTTTATTTGATCTTTGACTTGTACATCCGGTTGCAAGATTGCTGGCCAAATAACCTTTTTCTTCATAAAAAACTTGTCTCTGCAATTCTCCATGATATGCACAGGTAAGAGATGAGATTGAGGTAAAAAGTTGGAACATGACTAATATAGATCTTATTTACTTGTCCATCAACGTCCTATATTTCTCAGTAATTTTATTATCATCTCCACCTCAATTGATGGTCCACCCATTACAGTTATTCCTTCGCCTCCCATGGTGATTTTTCTATTATGGTAAAGGAATGATCTTTGGTTTCGTTGGGTACTGCCATGGTTAAAGGCACCTACGGTGAAATGGAGATGACAAAAATGGTGGAGCATGAAATTGGGAAAGAAAGAAAAGAAAGGGGAGGGGAGGCTGAGGGTGGGAAGCGGGAGGGACAAAGTGTGTTGGGTTTTCTTTTCTCTTTACTTCTTCTTTTATTGTGATTTATGATTTATTTATTTTAGTATTTTTTAATTAAAAAATATTTCATGATCCTTTTCAGCGTGAGCATCACGCATTACTGCCACATCAGTTACATTGTTGTCACATAAATATGGTCATCGATTAGAGGTGTGTATTTATATGCATTTTATAGAGTTAAAGTGTTTAAATAAGAAAGTTCTAAGTTCATGGGTTGACAAACGAGTACAAATTTAAGTGCTAGGTGACCATTTTGCCTATTAAAAAAATGAGAAAGAGAAATAAGTAGTCTTTTGGGGCGGAACCGTAGCCGAAGACGAACAAATCACAACAGAATATATATTTACCAAAAAAAGCAAACGACTATTAAAAAAAGATATTTTGTTTCCATCCGCATAGGAACTAGAATAATTAAAAAAAAAAAAAAAAAGAGTCCGAGTAGGGACAAATCTGTAAGTGTGCAGAATCTTCTTTTTCCGACCCTAAGTTAAGCTAAGCCCTATATATAAGGGAGAGGGTCGCTAAAATTGCACAAAGCTTGCTTGTTTGATAAGCTAATTAATTACTTAATTCGTGAAAAAAAAAAAGAAATCCAGAGAAATGGCAGAGGAAGGACAAGTCATTGGCGTCCACACGGTTGATGCATGGAACGAGCATCTCCAAAAGGGAATTGATGCCAAAAAACTGGTAACCCACCCTCGTCTTTTCTCTGTCGTATCTACGTTGCTTTGTCCTGATTCTGTTGGTTATTTTTTCATTTTTGTTTTTCCTGTATGATTAGTGGTTCGTTGGGACTTTTTCTCGCATGTTAATTACGGATCAGATCTGGATTTGTTGTCGATTTGTCTCAGTTTATCGTCTAATAATCTCTTCTTGTTATAGATGTTTTTCTTTTTTACTTGGTTGGTCGCCGGAGGGCTGGTCTTTTGTCGAGATCGGTAATTGCCGTCTGTCTTTTTGGAAAAAAACTATGGAAAAAGAAAATCAGGCTCTGCGCTTCGTATCAGCCTTCAATTTCGCTGTGATGTTTATCTGTGTTTTCACGTTGTCTCCGTTATGAGGATTGAAGTTTGTAACAATTTTTCACAATTGACTTTTTTGTGACTGACAATGGAGGCATATTCCATGTCTACCCACAATAAAAATAAAAAAAAATAAACCTTTCTGGTTCAGCCTTGTTTCTAGTACATCAATGTCGATCAAGGCTTCTAGCAGCAACAACAACAACAGCGACCCAGTCAAACCCAGTAGGCTTCTAGCATGACAAATTAAAACTGTTTTCACCAGGATAACATGACGTTTAGCGCGAGTACAAAAGTTGTTCTTTTTACAAGTATTTGAACTTTTGCTCCGTATTGCTTGCGCAAAATAAACATTATTATTAGTTTTTAGTATTCAAAAATATTATATTATCATTTTCTTCATATAATCGATCTTGTATCTTGTATATGCAATTGTCATGTGCCCTCAACTTGTGTATCCACCTTAAAAGATATCCAGAAAATGAACCAAAGGTACCAAATGTATCCTACGTGCTTTAAAATATATGGCCAACCACATCAACTTCCTGAGATCTGCACCGTAAAGCTTCTTGCTTATGATGCCAATTTTCCAATCCGACCCAGTACTATATCATGGTTCGGTTAACCTTTCCTTATTTATGGGGATGCAAACATAAACTGTTTAAGGGTAACTAGTGACCTAGTTAAATACATGTAGCCCTCTGTTTTCTATTTCCTTTGAATTCTCTATTACTTCAATTTGCTCATATTACTTCTGTTGCAGATAGTTGTGGACTTCACTGCTTCTTGGTGTGGTCCCTGTAGGTTCATTGCCCCATTCTTTGTAGAGTTGGCCAAGAAGATGCCCACTGTTACCTTCCTGAAAGTGGATGTGGATGAATTGAAGGTAAAACTATTGAGCCAAACATTTAATACGTTTTGGTGACATATAACCAACCCCATTAATGTTAACATGGTCAACAACTTAGGAATTACATTTTTTAGTACGAATTGTCTATTATAAGTATTGACGTCTTATTTCCTTGTCGCAGTCAGTAGCTAGTGATTGGGCTGTGGAGGCAATGCCAACTTTCATGTTCCTCAAGGAGGGGAAGATTGTTGATAAGGTGGTAGGAGCCAAAAAAGATGAGCTGCAGCAGACCATTGCCAAGCACATCAGTAGTACCTCAACAGCCTAATAATATGCTTTACTCTATGTCATATTTGCGCTTGGTTTAGTGACATCTATCTTAATATAAGCAAGAATAAATTTAGTTTCTGTTGGATATTACAAGTTCTTACTAGTAAGTCAATATTTATCCGTAGTTTGATCTGTTCCTTATCCAATCAAAAGTTGATTTCTTGCCTCTTATTGATGATTTTATTTAAGAAACCGAGACTTCTCCAAATTGGTGCGTTCGATTTGAATTAATTAATGCTTAAGTTTGAATGCATATCCCATTTCCTCTTACTGTGTAATGTGTATTATACTTAATAGTATAGTAGTTTTATCAAGTCTGATTCAAAAACTTGAAATCATCTCCTGCCATGGTGAAGAATGTAATAGCCGTGAACAACATGCATAGAGTGCCAGGACTATAAACTAAGAGCAGTTCAGAGGACAGAATTCGGATAATGTGATTTTCAAGTCATGAACAATTCTTTGGTCCAGCAGAAAATGTTGCACCCAAATAGAGTATTTCAGGTGTAGATGGTTGATATAGTTAACTTCAAATAGTTGGTAGCTGGAAGCATAATTCTTTGATTGAAATTTATCTTTTTGAAGAGACGTCGACGAGCACAAATTTAAGGTTGCTAGTACCAGAAACCAAAACTTGAACTGCTGTCCACATCGGCCCTCTTTGTATGAGAAGATTTGAATAATCCAAACAAGCAGTAATCACAGCAGCCACTGTAGAAGGATTCAAACCACAAAGAAATCGATGCATGGTTCAAACCAGAACACGGTTACCGTATAACAAAACACTCAAGTGAGTCCATGTACAGCATTTAACATGATCATCTCATATGGCACTGGTTGCATGAAAAGGAAAAAAAACATGGATGTACACTTTTCCATTGAATTCTTTCTACCAACTGCACAATACAGACAATTATAAGGGTCATACTAGGATCCGTTCCTAACATGAACCTAAGGGGTTTGATTTTCCCAGGAAGACAAGCTATCACACTGACTAAATAACAACGTAACAACGATGCTTATCTGGTCCACATTTCCAGTATAAAAGTAGAAAGGGACCAGACTGCATTCTACGATGGGAGTAGCATTTTGGAACTCCCAACGTTTATAAACTCATCTATAATATGCTATCTTCTCAGAGTCCCCTTTGGCACCCCAATATTAAGACTATCTAATGAACTCATATCAGAAGTTCTCCTCAACAACAGTAGCATTCATCAACCAAACTACTACCTCCTATTTCCTAAGCTCTCACTACTTTATTCTTACCTCTCACTAGTCTTTTCCTCATGGGTGTAAACTAAGTTATGCAATATTTGAACATTTTTTTTCTTTTGTACTCTTCAACTCTGGGTAGGAGTACAATGTGCTTCTACAGACAACCGCTTCAATACGTTAGGGCAGGGATCTCCGAAGTTGCTATTTGCTATTGTTACAGCACACTTCTGGCGTCCTAGACATTTCTGGAAAAGTTAAAAGAACAAAATCTGTGAGTCATAAGATGTTCGGTGGCCAAGTAAGTGGTCAAAATAAAGTGAACAACTTTTTCTTGTCCTCAGCGACTGCTAACAAAATAAGACTAAAGGGTACCTTTTCTACAACGGCATATGAGGTAGGAGCATGGCAAGGTCCTTGCTGGAAGCTCCCACAGGTTCCAAGAGGAGTTCCAAAGCTGGCAAATTTAATGGAGGAAATAGACTGACCAGGAGCGCAGTGAATGCGGACTTTAGGTAGGTGAAACTCTTCCGTTCTTCCATAGTTCTCTATTTGCCAATTCTTAATATTTGGATGATATTCAGCAACATCGGCACAAATGCTGCTGACTGTTCTCTTCACAAGAGAAATTCTTGTGGGATCTCCCCCTAGTTCTTCAAAAAGCACCAATAGATTTTGAGTGGGTTTTAACCAAGACCGAGGAACATGGTACCTGAAACAATAAAAAATTTAAGTTGCCACTACAAGGAACTCCAGTTTCTAGTTGTTAATGGTATATGTGAAGCTAAGTATCAGAATGCAGCTTATAAGCTGCGAAGAGCTGCTTTACCATTTTTGAGTTGGTTGCCCACATCCCAGTTGACATTTTGGAGGCCGAAAGTTTCCAGAATAATGGCAACCATTGCAATCTCCAGTAGCATATGCTGTCCAATATCTACCAATACTCTGGCCATTAATCCATACTTGACCTTTACCCATACTGCTCATGTCCAAAGCCAATGGCTCATCTCCATCGGGTGAATTGAAGTAAGCCTGCAATATGATGAGGAGTTGTAAGATACAACTACAATCACTTAGATGTTGGAATATATTTCTCCTAATTTCATACCTTATGCCATGTTAAAGGTTGTTGTCTCTGTGCAATTAATGAACCCTGCATCCAGTCAACGGCAGAAATACCATTTGGAGAAACGAGATTCATGGCCTCCCCTTTGAGCCCAACCTGTTAGTAAGTCCAAATTAATGAAAAGGGTTGCATTTGAAATACTTGACTATTGATTGAAAAATAGTGCTGTCATTTAGACTACCTGATATGTCCACTTTGCCCAGGACAAGTCCCATTTTCCCTGGTCTAGGCCATGAACTGCAACAGGACCCAGTACTCCAGTGCTCCATGTTTCAAAATGTCCACCCATGTTCTTCAGAAAAAAAACAGAATCTTAAGATTTTAGAGTACATTGAAAAATGTATACATGATCTCAGGACTGTAAATAGGCTACATTGTTGCTTCAACCTATCAGCGATGGTGATGATAATAGCTACAGTCACACTGAGGAGCTGGCTTCCTTTCCCTTCCTTTTCTGATAAATTTTTTCCTATCCCTTTATTGATTTCCACATAGGTATATGTAATCAAAGAATGCACAATGGCCTCTTACACTGCGACGTAAGCAGCATGAAGCTGTATTTGTCTTGTCCTCTCAAGTTTCAAGCCTTTGCTAGCCCCGACAAAAAGAAGGGAAAAAACTTTTCTATCAATTATCACTAACTCTACTGAAAGTAGGCATTAGCGCATGCTCAATAGTTTTAAGCTATGCATAATTTTAATGAGCTCTCTCAGATTTATTACTTTCTTCACTTCCTGGTACCAGCATTTGGTTTTTCACTGGCATAGTAATTAGTGATTCTGGTATAGGTTAGTGATGCTACATACTTATTGTTGACTTCAATGGGAGCTATTGGACCATAGAAATTTATTTAATTTGCTTTATGAGTTATTTGAATTTGAGTTGATCTCAAGTATGCATGCTATTTGGAAGACTGAAGGTGAGGATTAAACTAACCGGCAGTCCGACAGCCACGCTTAGCAGTGAAATTCTGTTTGTGCCAGCACGAAGATTGACTTTTCCTTTAAATACGAATCTCCTGTTCTTCCTCGTCCCAAATGCAGAATCTATAACATGTGTAGGACAAAATTAGCCAAGTGTAAGCATACTTTGTAGATAACCTTTGATGAGAAAATATTGATTGCATTACCTGAGAGCTGCCCATTAATAAACACATGAAGAGCATGGCCTGTTGACTCAACTATTAGAGTAGGGAGCTCTCCGCCATGTAGGAAGGACTCAGTTGAACCAATATCAACACTGTACGCAGGGGAAACATTTATACTTAAGTCACATAAAGCTAGCATTTCATGTCACAACTCTTAAATAGCAAAGAAAGAAAGCATCACTGGTAGGTAGGCAACCCAATCCTCATGAGAAGCAAATTGAGACAGGTTTAAAAGCACTGATACCAAACTAAACTCACCTAGTTATGTACCACAAATAGTCACTTGTATCTCTGGTAACGTTTATTTGTTCCAAGAGACCAAGAGAACGAATTGATGAGCTGTCATCCAGTGCAGATATATCTTCATTGTAACTCTCCCAAGATAGCATCTCCGAATTAGTTGGTAGCATTTCCATCTTTGATGTTTGAACTCCAACCTGCACGTAGAATTTGGAAGCAGTTAAGTCCTTGCTATCAGCAAGTAACGTGTAGGAACTCAAACTTTTAGAAGCTGCTAAAGCAGCTAATGAGTATTATTGAATGTACACAAGTTTCCGAGCCGGTGTATTACGTACTTTGGCTGTGTTGAAGACTACATTTCTGCAGTCAGGAAGGATGCTAATGGACCAAGGAGGCAAATTATAGTGCATGTTGTTGAACATTACTCTTGCAGCAGATTTCCAGTCATTGTTTGACAGGAAAGCAGCACAATCCCCTGTCTCTGAGGAGTACACGTATGCCTACAGTAACAGCAAATATTCAATGAGAAACTGCTGATAATGAACCACGGCAACAAGATTAATGACACCAATGCAGAATTTTATACCTGTTGAAGGTTTCCTAAGGATGTGATTGCTGGATCTGCAGAAACTAAGGCTTTCTCGCACATCTTGACAGCTTTATGAAGCTCCTTGAGATGACCATATTTTGGCTGTCTTATTAGACCTGTCAAACGAAAGGGGCATTGAAGAGTTATTTTCTCTTTCAGTTAAGTGAATTGCCAAATGACAGTCAAATTATTATGTTGCAAATTTCTTTAAGCACACACAAACTATAGAAAGGAAGACGCAGGAAAATCCTTTTAGCATGAGATATCAGCAAAGTAAAATGGTTTCATCAATCATTTTACAATACCAGAGACCAACACAACTTTTTTAATAGAATATTCAGAAGCTGTGAATCTAAATTTACACAAGAACAGGTGACGAACAAGTAAACTAAAGCTCTACACTCACCATACTCATCAATAGGAGCATCATAGTCATAGCTAGTAGTGATGAATGGGCCTCCTGCAGATCGTCCAAAGTTCGTGCCCCCATGGTACTATCAGGCAAAAAGAGGAAATGTTGTTACCATATGAGACTCTATATATACATGCTTATGATCTATATAAAGAATATCTACATCAGGCATTTATTGAAACAGTTTAATGAAAACTAACCATGTAATAGTTAACAAAAGATCCTCCTCTTTGTATAAATTGAGCTACAGCAAATGCCAAATCCTGAACTGGCCTCTGATGAAGGGTGCCGCCAAATTCCGAGAACCTTACAATGCATTGAAAATAGAGTCAAACATGACCTGACTTCGAACATAATCAAAACTTGAACATAATCAAAAGTTAAGATTACATACCAACCACTCCAAGCCTCAGTCCAGATTGTGGGTTTGTATGGTTTGTTTGGGAAGAAATTATCACAGTAGAAACCATTACATGTATTGATCTGTTATCAACAGCAGGAAAAATTATGTAAGAGGTTATGGAACTGTTTGCGGAGCCTAAAAATTTAGACTGCAAATTTATGGATTTTATTAGAACCTGGAGCAAACAAATAGAGGTTCAAGAGGAGCAAAAACTTTTCGGTTCATACTAGAAGGTGCAAAATTACTTTACACTATCAAGTCACTTAAAAGCTAAATATAGGTAAATTTTATAGCAAGCATGAACAATGGTAAGCGAGTTGTTATAGCAGGTAAACCTACATTGAATAATTACGATCCTTTTATATTGTCGGTCTATTATAGGTTAAATTAAATTAAACTTAAAAAAAGCTATAAATAGAACAATGCGGACTGACTACTACTGTTATGCCAAACGAAAGTAGGAGAAGCTCTAAAAACTGAGTTTGCATACCACAGGATCTGGGGCATCTTCTTCCTTGCACATGACCCAGGGGACACCTGTATCCAATCCAACTGCCATATTTGCAGCCCATGTTGAATACTGATGGCCCGTTGCTCCAAGTGCCTTGGCTTGTGGCCCGTACTCATTCTCAATCTGCAATAGAAGCAGATCAGACAGAAATGTTACATGAGAATTGAACTAGTTTTAGTTGAATTAGGCTTCAGCAAACAGAAGAAATAGTATAATGAACAAATTGGAGTAAAAGATATACCTGGGATAGTATGATTGGACCACCCTGAGACTCGAATAGGTTATGACTCTTCATCAAGTTAACAATTTTCTCAGCATACCCTTTCATTGCATTCTGCCATGACCATAAAACAATTAAAATTTCATTAACAACCCAACATATAAAAATGATAAATATTCTTCAAAAGCTAATATTTTTTTAAGGGGGAAATTGAGACCTTGAAAGGTTCATTATCTGCTCTGAAGCTAATGCCTGGTACATACTTCAGCCATACGGGAAACCCTCTGTAGAATTGACAGTAAAATTAGTACAAGTATGAAATTACCACTTGTCTTTATTAGATCTAAAGAAGAGCTAAAAGAAGAAGAAATGTACCCAAAATTCCACTCTGCACAAACATAAGGACCAATTCTAAGATGAGCATAGAGGCCTGCTTTCTGAATTGTCTTTATAAACCTCACCAGGTCATATCTTCCTTCAAAATTGTACTGAAAACCCCACAAAGAACATGAAAAAAGATTTAATCTTTGAGCACAAGATATGAGTAAAAACAAGCTAATTGTACAGAAATAGTAGAGAAATGAGTAAAAACAAGCTAATTGTACAGAAATAGTAGAGAAATGAGTAAAAACAAGCTAATTGTACAGAAATAGTAGAGAAATGAGTAAAAACAAGCTAATTGTACAGAAATAGTAGAGAAATGATGTACATTGCCAGGAGAAGGCTCATGAACATTCCAAAACACATAGGTTTCAACCACATCCAAACCTCCTTCTTTGGCCTTGTTTATCAGATCTTCCCACATCTACAAAAACCACATTTTGAACCTAACTTCATAAACAACTTCACACTAAAAAACAAGAAAAAAGAGAGAGTATAAAATGGGCAAGAATTAGAGTACCTCAGGGGTGCTTCTTGGGTAATGTATAGAACCAGAAAAAAGTAATCTTCTTTGGCCATTAATCACAATGGCTTTCCTATCATAGGTAACATCACACTGAATCAACTCACAACTGATAAACAACACTATACACCACAGCATAACCCACTTCTGAACTGAGTTAACCTCCATTATTCCACCTCCTTTTTCCTCTGTATCTTACAAACACATCCAAGAACAAAACTTTGCTTTCTGGGTGGAGGGAATTTTGAAGCAAGATCAAGAATCTTGGGGAAAAAAGCTAATAAAAGTGGGGGGAAATGTGGAGGGGTGGGACTTAATTGCAATGTGGGTGCACTGCAAGTAAGTCCACTTTAGCTTTGAACAGCACCACAACACACTGCTTCTGTCCAAGTAATTGCCTCTTTCTCCACCTCAAAACTATAGTTGCAAGTCTTGGAAGCGTAAATACAAGTTATATATAGAGACAGTTGTAATGTAATGTACAGCTTTAATTCACTATGGCCGAGAGAAAATAAAAAAGAGAGAGAGAGAAAGTCATCAGTGCGTGACTGTGAGCTCAACACTCAAAAAGAAGTAAAAATATAGTTTAATAAGTTAAAGCACATAGTAGTAAAAGAAGCTGACAAACAGAAAAAAGAACAGGATTATCATGTGTAAATCCAAGAGGCTTTCCCATTGTTTTCTTTTTCTTTGTTTTTTATTTCTATGGATACTTGCTTTCAATAGGCCATGGGATCGGAAATCATTTCTTATAAAAATATAAAGTAAGACTTTGTAAAATAAACTCTTGTGGTCTAATTTTTCACCGAACCCTGCGTATAACGTTAACTTAATATACTAGACTGCCTTTTTGTTGCTTGTTTTCATATAATTATTAATTCGGATTTACACCGTATGATTAAAAAAGGAACGGCTCTTTATCGAAAAAAATATTTTCAAGACTCGAACCATAATCATCCTACTACAAACCATAATGATTTCTTTTTTTTGGTTACTGGGTGAAATTAAAGTATAAGTTGGAATGGAGGGAGAGAGTGATTCTGGCGCATTAATGAAATGAGTGCAGGATTTGCGGGGTCATTATTTAATTAGTGTCAAATAGGTGGCTAGATTTATTTTCAAAAATCTTTGTTAAGCTTTTTTAAATGTTTTGCTTTGCAGATAAGGAGTCGTGTTTTAAGTTTTTGTTACAGGAAGCAATGGTATTCAGTACCTGTTTTTCCTAGCTGTCACTGCAGATGGTCAAACTATACATGTGATACTTAGCTCCTCAGAATTTTAATTTAGGTCTCATTTAATTGCTATTAGTTGACATTAATTAAAAATGAAACCCATGATTCTTAATCTCACCTAAGGACAATATTTCAAATGATTTGAAAATTTAAACTTTTGAATGACGGAATAGATTGTCAAGTGGAAGGATCAGTTTCACTTGATTTTTCTTATCAGATTGATTTGGAAGTTTCCTAATTTTTTGTATTTTAATTGCAATGACAAGACAGAACTTCACTTCATTTTGTATTACAAGTAATGAAGTGTTAAGAGTTGTAACATTAGCATATAATCATCATTTGCATCTAATTGTACTTTAAGCTAAGCCCTTCACATGTGATCATCTGAACTGGTTTTGATAATATAAATACAAATTCTTACAATAATTTCTTCGGTTGAAACAAAATTCTATGTGTTAACCCATAAAATGACTTAATACTCATTATGATAGTTCAATATAATGAATTTTTTTAGTTGATTCAAGTAAATAATCTCACAATCCCAACAAAGCAAGTCCAAAAATTCTTTTTTCTTTCCTTTCCGTGTAAAATTTTTCGCCACTTGGAAGTGAATTGTTTTGATGATGAAAACTGCAAGCAAAGGGGAATTACTAACAAGTATTTGCATGTCACTCGTCGTGACTTAACAGAAGCAAAAACACTTAAAATGTGAAAAGAAAACGACAAATTAAATAGACTTAAAGCCAATAAACATGAAAGATTTCTCAGACGTAACGTAACCACCTCTTATTTGTCATGTATACAGGAATTGAAGCCCTCACCGACACAACCATTGGTAGTACATGAATTTGACTTGTGTCAAAAAAAGAGATAATAAAATGTTGAAACTTATTAGAATGAATAAACATGAATATCACTTCTTTAACAGTTTCAGCTCGCAATTCAATACTTTAGACCAAATTGTTTTGGTTAAAGTAGCAAATATAAACGACAGGAAGAAATATCTTTTTTCCGGATCTAGTGTTACAATTCAATTAATATAGTGCTAATTAAGTGAGACGTTTAACTCAGGATGAATAATAGTTTAAGCGAATGCTTTTGCAATTAAAATAATTAAACAACTTTTTTCGGAAGCGTACAAAAGACCCTTATGGTCCGGCTCTTTCCGGATTCCGTGCATAACGGAAGTTCAGTACACCAGTCTTTCCTTTTTTATATAAAATCTTCAAAAGCCAGATACTAGTATAGAAGAACCATTATTCATTCACAAAAAATGGTTTGGCCCTACTGACCGAATTAGCACCACAACTATAATCCATTTTAAAACATACTCCCTCCGGTCCACAATAAACATATTGCTTCCGATTCACAATAAGTGACCAATTTTTTTTTATTTTGGTCTAAAATAAGTGTCTATTTATATAATCAAGAAAAAAGTTAATTTGTTTTTTCAAAATTATCTTTATGTACATATACCTCAAAAGTCATTTACTCCTCACATTTGAGTAGAGAAGTAAGTATACTATGGTGTAATATTTAATGAAGACTAGTTTAGTCACACTAATTATTTTCGTCCAGAATTTAGTATTTCGTATGTCAGAGTAAATTGGTTACTTATTGTAGAGCCATAGAATTTGCTTGGACGCCCTGTGGAGTGTAAATTGGTTACACTCAAAACTTTTTGGTTGGGTCATTTTCATTTCAGAAGAGTAAAGCTCAAACCTCTCTCTCTTCCCTTTGGCAATAACTACTGCTCATTTACCATTTAATGCAGTGATGAGGCAGAGTTACAGCTTATTGCCACTATTTTCATGGATGTCGTTTTACCAATGCGTGATGCAGTGTCAGTGTCTCCCAAAATCATGTCATTTACTAGTGTAATATAGCTCATTAGCTGCCACGGCTATGGTTACTTCTTACTTATGAGTAGTGTCAAACTTGGCTACCATTTTTCTAATCACTATAAGAACTAACACATGTCAACATTCAACCAGAAAAGCCAATTCGTCAAATGGAAAAAATGAAATGGTGGGAGCGGTCGAGTAGATGGAAATTTTTAAAAGTTATTCCACTAATTAAAGTTTCCTTCTTGTTTTTATTCTTTGTCCTTTTTTATTTATTTATAATCTTTTGTATCTTAAAGAGTGGTCCCCCATAAGACCGGAGATAAGCTAATTTGCGTCAGTCAGGAAGTAGCACTATATGGTTCAACTTTACTACTACTATTTTATTTTAAAATTGCAATATAGCATAATGGAACAGAATTTTATGTTTATGATATTAAAGCTTTTACACGAGAATATATATACTTCTCCATTACCTGAAACATTGCATGAAAAGTCAGTACGCTTTCATGCTATGTTGCTACCCTATTATAAACTCAGATTGGATGAACGGAAATAAAAATCAGGTTGTTATAACATTGTAAAAGTAAAATGTGTAACTTAAATTTTTTTTAGATAAATGAGTAGTCAGTAGTTTTTTTTTTCCTCCTTTATTTGGTAAAATGACCCGGCTTGACGTATCACTTAATACGCTTACATGTTATTTGGAAGTATCTAAATTAAATAAATAAATCGTACGTCACGGTACTTCCCACTGTTACTAAAAATGATTCAAAAATAGGGGTGTACATGGATCGGGTTGGTTCGATTTTTATCAAAACCAAACCAAACCAACTATATCGGCTTGGATTGGTTCGGTTTTATCGTATTTTTCGGGTTTTCGGGTTTTCTTGTTACATGAATATTATTTCAATCTTACTTTGTTAAAATTATAGATAAAGCTTTGATAAGTGAATATATATTTAGTAAATATGAAAAAATTGACAAACATATGATCTATTAAAATATTTTTATGGGAGAATTTTTTTAGTAACACATGATAGTTATTTTCTTAGTCATCTACAATAGTTTTTCGTTAATTTACGCTTTCAAGGTTAATACAGGAGAGTAGGGGTGTTAATGGTTCGGTTTGGATCGGTTTTTCCTTTAAAAGAAACCAAACCAAGTAAGTCGATTTTTCAAATATTAGAACCAAACAAAATCAACTAAGTCGCTTTTTTCTCAATTCGGTTTATGTCGGGTTTTGTTAGTTTTTCGGTTTTTTTGGTTATTTCTCAATTTTTCTTAAATATAAGACATACACTATCAAATACATATTCCGGAGACTACATTTTCAACGTAACGCTATTAAATCAATTGCCCTTTGAGAAATCCATTATTTACCTTTGAAAAATCCTTTGATTTTTCGATTTAGTGCGATTTTCCAGTTCAGTTTGAACACCTCTAATTCAAAGATTCAATTCCACTGCAATGACAAATATTGAACAACTAGTCCTTCTTTAATTTCATTTTTTGGCGTTTTTTGTTTATTTATTTTTCATTAGATCGGTATACAAATGCTTCTTCCTCCTCCTCCTTTATGCCAAGGTAATTAAGTTAAAGTTCCTTAAAAGATGTCGAGTACTTCTCATAAATTTGAACTATTTAAGATATAGCACTAAGTCAATAAACGGATCAAATAAAAAGTAAGATAGCTGTACAAATGACGCCGTGTAGTTGACTTTAATAATAGTGCCCAAATCAGTTCACGTACTATTACATCTCCTGAATTCCTTTAGTTTAAAAGATTAACAGGGAATATAAAAAATCTTAGAGATGATGAAGCGTGTCAAAGTAAAGCAAAATGAATAGTGAGGCGATTCCAGTAACTTGAGAGTGAAGCATGATTATTGTTGTAATTGTTGCGTCAATAAACCTATCACGATCAACCTAACCAAAACTTGTTTAGATTAACATAAATTTAATTTGAACAGGTCACATTATTCAAATTTAATGAATTAGACGAGTTACAATTTTATTCTCTCTTAAGTCCTAAACATGCCTAACCTCGCAAATAGAATTCATCCTTTATTCTCAGCTTGACCTTAAACTAGTTCCTAACTACGAGTCTTAAGTTTCTACCAAATAATGGTCAATGTCTAAACAAAAAGTAAGATTAGACGCTAGTTAAATATTCTCTACACTTCTAATTGTGTCCGTCCGACAAAAAGGGCATTTTCAAGTCTGTCCTATTAGTCCATGGTCAAAGACGCGAGGCAAACGGAATACTTATAGTTATAGTTGATCCAAGGGGAAGGGGCCAATTCTTTTCTTTTTCCTTTAATTAATTAATTGTTTGGAGCTACTCTCATTTAATTTGAGTGCAAATTGTAAATGAATAAACATTGGATACTAAGTGGTTGCTGCAGTCTTTTGAGAGTCAAAATAATACGAGTATAATGCCTTTTCGTTGCTTTTTCCATTACGCTTTTTAAGCTTTCGACGGCGTGATGGACGGGCAGACTGAACATTC